ACAGATACATACAGGTCATTCCCTAGAAAAAGGGAAATGTACTATTAATCATTCTATTTCATGTATTTGATTATTTCAGATGTAATTCATATGTTAGAGTAGTAATAGTAAATTACTTCATGTAATCAAGATGAGAGACCACGGCTATAAAAGCTCCCTGTTCTAAAAATGCGTTCCTAGTGCAGTCAACTTTCCATTAACATACTTCCATACAAAGCTCTTTGGAAAAGTCAGCCTTTTTTGCAATGACGGGCTGTGGCTTACATCAATTATCATCTGGACATCTATCAGGTCTTCAAATGGTTGTGTATGCTGAACTAGAATGGAAGATGCCATATCTATACTCTTCAAACATCAGTATAGTTAAACAGGAAATGAAGTATAGGAGATAGTTGATTTTTGATCCTTGTAATCTATAAGACACATTGAATTTCAAACAGAAAAAGGCTTAACATATGACATTTTTGAGTTTGCAAGTGAAAATTTACATCAAAAAGAAAATCTGCACTGGAATACAGCAAAACAGGTTCACTTAAATGACAGATACATATTGTAGTTCTTTTTAGGAAAAAAAATTCCATCACTCACTCACACTGACACACAGATTTTGATTTTCCTGATTAATCTTGGGAATATTGGATTGTTGTCGTTCTTGACGTCTGTAATGAATCCTCTGCAAGAGCATATTTAGGTTCCATGGATTCCCTGAAGCATTAAACAGTAACACATTAGTTGCATTTTTGCAGAAAAGACAGTAAAAAAGTGTGCATGTCGCATGATGCCTTACCAAGAATCTTATCACGAGGCTGTGGTACCATCATGTCATTAGCAGGCTCTTCTTCCCAGTGTACACCAAGATCTGACCTCCATTGTTTTCAGTTCATTTCTTCCACCCTGAAGCAAAAAAAAAAGAAAGACCTTTTCATTGTCAGTTTATCACTTTAATAACCACAAAATACATCTTCCTCTATATATATATAAGCTTAAATTACTCTTGTACACCAGAGAGGATTTTCTCTTAGTAGCCATAGTGATATTAAAGACTAGAAAATGCCGACACCAGTCCAGCAGTCAGACCTCAAGACTTCAACAGGTAACAAAAGTAGTAATGAGCGGTCAGGCTTGAAACTTACAGAGGTACCTGCATGTAGGTATGTAGGACTGTAGCCTAAGGTTTATATTGTTAACTGGTAATTTGACTGTGTGTTTCATGTCATTTTTTACAGAGAAACACAAAACTAACATGCCAAGTAGTGTAACTACAGGGAGTGCAGAATTATTAGGCAAGTTGTATTTTTGAGGAATAATGTTATTATTGAACAACAACCATGTTCTCAATGAACCCAAAAAACTCATTAATATCAAAGCTGAATGTTTTTGGAAGTAGTTTTTA